AAAAAAAACCATAATTATTCCGCAGAGATTGATGGAAAAATTCTTTATGGAAGCTTCAAAATGCGTCCGATTAGTCGTATAAATTCTAAAATTTCTCAAGGGATGCCCCTCGGACCACCCCCCCCCCTCCGTGCATGGGGCCCGGACCTTAAAACTGGTACCAGGGCCCGAGATGGGATGTGGCGAGCCTGCATAAAGGCTATTTCCATTTAAATCTTCCGTCACATTCATACGGTGCAATAATACAACTATTTGATCTCTCTGAAATGCGTGAGGTATCACGCCGCATTCGAAGGCGTTTTCAAAACAGCCAAGTTCCGAAACCCGGATTATCGTTTTGCATAAGCAGGCCAGCCACAAGGGGGGGGGGATACTGGGTCCCTGGTACAGGGGCCCGGGCCCCGGAGGGGGCCCGAGTTATCCGTGAAAAGCCGCTACGGATTCACATGCAACCCTTGTTTCGTAAGAAGAAGAGAAAAATTTACCCTAAAAATTTCGCAAAAGGTGAATTAATTTTCAGAAACACGCTGGGGCACTGTAGAATTCTTCTTAAATTTTCAAAGAAGTATATTTCTTGGAAAATTTCTATCTATTTTCAAGATTTTCAGTACAGAGGGATATTTTTAGTAACTGCGTTTCATTTTCTTCCGTAGTCAGATGCTATGAGTCTCCAGTCTGGGCATCATCGACTTCAATGGCTCATGTCTCAACTCCCTTTCCATAGACAAACGAAGGGGCACAGGCGGATCCAGCAATTTGGCAACACCAGATTTCCTCTATTTAAACCTATGTTAAATAATCGATTCTTGTCGGAGCACCTGGCCGCTTCAAGAATCGATACATTTCCATAGGCTTAAATGGAGGGAAACAATGCTGCCAAATCGCTGGATCCGCCAATGCGAAGGGAGAGTCCACGGGGGCCTGGCCCTCATACAACTGAAAATAGTATCATATGTTGCCCCCNTGAATGCAACAATTTGCAAGTATTTTGTGCTGAAAGTATATATAAAAAAAAAAAAAAAAAAACATAATTATTCCGCAGATATTGATGGAAAAATTCTTTATGGAAGCTTCAAAATGCGTCCGATTAGTCGTACAAATTCTAAAATTTCTCGGGGGATGCCCCTCGGACCCCCCCCTCCATGCTTGGGGCCCGGATCTTAAAACTGGTACTAGGGCCCGAGATGGGATGTGGCGAGCCTGTGGATAGTTGATATTCTTTTGTTTCCATTTCTAACCACTTGTTTTTTTATAATCCTCCTATAAAAACCACCCATTTGCTATATACAATTCTAGCTGAAGCGCACTAAAGCGCATTCATGACTGCAAAAATGTGAACGAAAATCGAAAAGGCCAGCGTGCATGAAGGCTATTTCAATTGCAATCTTCCATCGCATTTCTAAGGCGCAATGATACAACTCTTTGAACTCTCCGAAATGCGTGAAGTATCACGCCGCATTTGAAGGCGTTTTCAAATCAGCCAAGTTCCGATACCCGGATTATCGTTTTGCATAGTATAACTACCTGGGGATGTTCCCCTAAGTTGGACGATGTCTTCCTCTTACAAAAGAAAATTATTAGGATTATTTGCAATAAACCTTATAATTATCATTGTAAAACTTTATTTTCGGAAAAGGGTATTTTGACGGTTCCTTCCCTATACATTTATGATACTATCAATGAAGGTATACATCCTGAAATTTTAACGATTCACAGAATGATCCCTAATCATGGAAATGGCACCAGACATTGCTTCATGAACAATAATATTGTAACAACTAGGGAGAGTACATCGATGAAAAATCGAGCGATAACGTTTTTCAACACCTTGACCACCGATTTAAAAGTAATGTACAGGGAAAGTTCCGTCCCAATATTCCTTAACCAATTGAAAATAAAACTAAAAAATAAAGCTTATTATAATCTAAAAAAATTTTTTGAGGAACCTGTATAATTTCATTTTGCTTAAATTGTTGTTAAAATTGTAAATTTGACTCGTGCCAGAGCTTTTTACTAAAGGTTGTATGCATCAATAAATTCCATCTATCTAATCAACCACATAAGCTGAACATTATTCATGAGATTATGCACCTGCTGACGACTAGCTTCGTTACTCAACGCTCTCTGTCGGCGCAACGGTGAACCACGCGCCGATCTCTTTCCCCTCCCCTCTCTGCTCCACGCGTCGACCGTCGTGTCGCCAGTCTGTCTGGTGCTACCTCCGATTCCTTTTGTGCCGCGCCGCCAGTCGGAGGAATGTGCGGTAGCGCCAGCTTCCGAACACTTCGATTCGGTTTCTGAGAATTGATTCCTCCGTTATCTGTTTCTCACACTCCTGACCCACTTCCGCGAGGAAACAGTGGTGATCACCCATACTGAAATTGAGGAACTAGTGGACGTACGTCCTCTCATGCGATTCTTAAGTATGATACATGAATCCTCGATGATTTTCAACGAGGAATTCGAATCTGAGATCAGATTTTGGATATGCATTAAAATATTTTCAGATACGGGGCCGTCCATAAACGAACCGATTTCTTTCCGAATCACGTAAGCGCCAATCTCTGTTTTGGTGGTAGAGGGGTTATTTTTATTTTTTTGCTCTGGTATAATCAGTCATGTCTGATTTCAAAGCAGCTTTCTAAAAGAGCATACATTTTTTGGAATTCGAAGATTGTCGTCAAGGTGAATGAAACGGATTTTCGTGTTTTTCTCGCATTTGCAATTTTGGCACTTACGTGATTTGGAAAATAATCGGTTTAAATTACGTAGGTAAGGCTAGCCTAACAATCCCCCCCCCCCCCNCCCCCGCATTGGGGAACAAGCATAATTTAGTGCGAAATAGTGTGTCGAAAAATCTGTGCGTTTTGAAGCATCAAATTTATTATAGAGGAAAGTTCCTTCAAAGAGTACTAATCGTAAAAGGACACATATTTAAAGAAGGAAAAAGGAAATGATGGAATCAAAAGAAAGAAAATATAAAAAATTTGGGACGAACTCCACAGGAAATAAAGTTTTGAATCTCACTTATTTTCTCTTTTCAAGCCGACGTTTTGCCTTATTTAAATAAACAAACCTAAGTTCGAAATCTTTGAACTTATTGAGAAAAATAGAAGATGTATTCCGTTTTTTTTTTCTTTTCCTTTTTTCTCGTACACATTTGAAAAGAAATTTTTAGATCATGGCTACTTAAGGCATGAGCTTATCCATTTTGAAGGTACGTCAATTGATGGGCGCAATAAGCGCAAATTGTTCGTTAAGTGGACGAATAAAAAAGGATGGGTCGGTTTGGAATCGGCGTGCTTAAAATGCTGTGTAGGCGCCGACTTTGGTTGGAGGATATTTTCAAATTGCATAAAAAATTACCTCAAATAATGATAGCTGTTGACTGTTTACTTCGAAAAAATGGCATCTTATCATTAAAATAATCCATACATATATTTTATTTTTTAATTTTGAGACAAAATTCTTGCACTCCGATTAGAAACAAAAAACAATTAAAAAAAGTTGAGTGTTTCCGTTGACTTTTTTAACAATAAAATAACTAATTTCAGTTTTATTCAAACATTTTTATTCAGTTGGTTGGTGTATACTAGTTTTTTTCTCTCTTTTTTTTTAAATAAATAAGCATCATTAACCCACATGCTTCAATTTTTTAATTTTTAGCCGAAATTCCAGCGCCCAAATCTCGTTCATTTCGTAAAGATGCCAGCTCTGAAAATGAAAAATCCAATTTTTACAATGAAAAAAGCTGGCGGTCGTCTTGCAACTTTTGTACCAAGTAAGTCTCTTCATGATAGACCCTTAACACTAAAGTACATTTTCATCGTGCTAACGTTTTTGCTTCCTGTCTAGACTTTCTCGTCTCTTGAATAATTGTGTTTTTCAGAGTTGGGACCTTTTCGAAATAAACTCATCATTTCACACCCTGAATTTGGCAGCTGAATATGGAAGTCAACAGTCATCACGCAACAACTGAAATTCAGTAAATTCGAACTATTTTCATCCAGATCTGTATAAAATCCATTCGAATAGTTCAGACAAACAGATATCTTTTGCGCTACGATCCTCATCGGTGCCAAAATTCAAGTATCGGGCCGATAAGACCTCCACATTCAAGCCAAATTCAGCTCGGCCCATATTCAGCGTGTGATTTCGGCCACACAGAAAAAAACGACGAGTTTGTTGGATGTTATGGAAATTTTCAGTTAATTGTGGCAGTACTCCAAGAAACTAAGTTACTAACTCAAATGTTTGGGTGCTACCAAAGTAATTGGAAATGTCCATACCATTCAAAAAATCGGGGTAGCATCCTATTTTAGGGGATAACCCCTCAAACTTTTTTCCGTGCATCCACACCTTTTCTGCCGTGCCAAGGGAGAACGGCGTAGGCACATGCGAGGGTTGCCAAATTTCCCTAGATAAAACATGTATTTTTGAGGAAAGTTATACATTTTTTTCCTTTAAATTTTGAGATTTTTTAGATCGAAACGCAAACAAAGTCGTCGGAAAAATTGAGAGGAAAATACTGATAACTTTCCCAGTAAATTTGTAATTATCAAAGAGAATGGCGATGTTGCATGTGTGAGGGATTAGCGATTTGACTGTTGATTCTTATGTAAAAGTTTGCGAGAAACACGATGGTGCCACTGGTTTTCTCTGAAATCATCTCCCAAGCTCAAAAAAAGCTCTCAAGTTGGGGTCAAAATGGAGGGGATATCCTACCCTACCCTGAGAGTCCACCTCTACATTAAAACAAACTCTCCATGCAAAGATAGGGAGCAAATACATTAGCAGGGTTGCCGTGTTTTCAGTTTTGGAGTCCCCAAATAAAGTGGCAACCCTGCTAATATATTTGCTCCCTATCTTTGCATGGAGAGTTTGTTTTGATGTGGAGGTGGACTCTCAGAATGGTGTAGGATATTCCCGGCCATTTTGGCCTCAACTTGAGAGCTTTTTCTGAGCTCGGGAGTTGATTTCAGAGAAAAACAGTGGCCACATCGTGTTTCTCGAGAACTTTTACGTAAGAATCAACAGTCAAATCGCAAATTCCTCACACATGCAACATCTCCATTCTGCTGAACGCAGTCTACACCTACCTCTCTCGGCAACAACTATGAGTATTTTCCTCCATGTCTGTGCGTTAGAACTCGCGTTAAAAGACGATCTCAATACTTATTAAGACCGACAGCATTATTATAGCAGGCGGCAGCGGCGTAAAGGTTTGAGCACCCCACCTCGGGACAGAACCCGCACCCTTCCGAGAGGACGGTGATGTTCCTGATGGAGCGCGTTATGAGCTCCACGCCCTCGGGAGACACCTGCGCGTCGGTGGCGACTTCCCTCGCGGCGGCGACGGTGCGCTCGTAGTTCCCGCCGCCGGTCTTGTCGTCGGCGGCGAAGGCCGGGCCGATCCGCTGGTTGATGGCGTCGCGGATGTCCTCGACCCGGAACTTGCTGTCGCCGTAGGTGAAGAGGATCCCCGTGCAGATGGCGAAGAAGGCCGGTTTCTGGAGATAGTCCTTGGGGCTCGCCCCCGGGCACTGACAGCCCGCGGAGGCCCCGTTCCCGACGCCGAAGGCGAAGAGGGTTGAGAAGATGAGGGTTGGAAGGAGGAAGGCCGTTGACGCGAGCATTTGGGTTGGCTGGTTTTCGACTGCGAAACATAAGAAGAGAAATGGAATGGTTTTACACACGGAGAAAAAAACTTCGTGCGTGGGACCCGAAGTTTAGGTCATATGGATCTCTGAGGTTTTCGGATCGAGCATCTGAAAACTTTAGGTCCAGCTGCTGAGGTTAGGATCACACATCTGAAACTTCAGTTCTTACATCTGAAGTACTTCGGTTTTACACCCGAAAAACTGCGGTTCTCACATCCGATAAGCTTCGGTTCTCACATCTGAAGTACTTCAGATGTAAGAACTGAAGTTTCAGATGTGCGATCCGAACCTCGACAGCTAGACCTAAAGTGTTCAGTTGCTCAATCCGAAAACTTCAGAGATCCATATGACCTAAACTTCGGGTCCCATGCACGAGGTTTTTTTCTCCGTGCAAAATGGAAAGTATAGCATCAAACAGTAGGTTGATTGTTGAAATTGATAGACAATGAAGACATAAGGAGTATGAAGCGATCCTATTATTTAGGATCGCTTATTATAAAAATATTATTGTTTCAGGAAAATTATGAATATTCCTTTCAATTACTGTAGATTACATTGCAAATAATTTCCCCCGAAAATTGGTCAAAAATTATTCAACAAGCTTTCGTGAAAATGCATGCTTTATAAACGGAAAAGCATTGTATTTTGTTTTGTAAAAACACTGAACATATGCGCTGTTGGGCGTGATACCACTATATGACCTCCTAGGGGCTCGGTGCATGTGCCTACTCAATTCATTGAAGGCGTTTTTATTTTCCCTCGCTTCACGCTATATCCCTTTTAACTATCGTGGTAACAAGGAGATGATCATCTGAAACGGTTCCTCTTCCAATGACCTTTTCGTATAAGATTTATAATGCGGCCATTCTGTGTGCATAGAACTTCATCCATACGTTGCAAAATTTTCTCGAGGAATGGAATTTTCATAGAGAACCAATGTTTTTTTGGTAAACTTTTTCGAAAAATGTTACTCATCATTTGATCTAGATAATGTGAAGGGAAATATTCACATCAATCAATTATTGTTGATTAATGTATTAATTCCCAAAAAAACCACCCAAACTGTCACGCTAAGGAAAAATGCCGAATGGATCTTCAATAATTTTCAAATTTCCTCCCATAAAATTTGCATTTTTGAGGAAAGTTATGAATTCCTCCTTGGATTGTCTGATATTTTAGATAATATCCCCCCAAAAAAGGTCAAAAAAATTTGAAGGAAAATATTCACAACTTTCAAAGTAAATTCATCATAATTTACCGAAGAAAATTTAGCAACGTCTGAAAGCTCATACAGCTGTTTCCCCGAGTTTGGCAGGAAAAAACTACACGGTTTATAATATACAAAATCTTAAAAACATGTTTTAATTATTTCTTAAAGTTGCGTCTCGTACAGACCAAAATAACACGTTTTAAAACAAATTGGTTTTTCAACGAGCAGGATGTTTTCCATTCGATATAACAATTTCGTACGGAAATTTACTTTTATCCTCATAATTGAGGAAATAAAATTAAGACTCCCGGTTAAGCTTTCTTCACGGCAAAATTAGACATCAGATGTACGTGAAGTGCGGTCGATTGAATTCAAATCCAAATTCCTCCGGCAATTAAATCCGAAATAATCTCTGGCTAAGCTATTCGATTGCAAATATTTAAAATAATCTAGATTAAGATGTGAAATTTTTCTTAAAAAAACTTTGTGTTTTAAACTCTAAATTTTTGTGGTATACCTAAAATTTTTGGGAAAATTACCCTTTCGAGTATGAAAAAAGGAGCTTGAAGGTTATACAATTTTCTTAATACTTACTAATTTTAGGGTGTTGTTGAAAGTTGCAAACTTCCACAACTTCGTGAAGAACTCCTCAGGATTTAGGCACCTTCCCTAGATAAAACGGAAAAACTTGCACTAGTCACTCTACCACCTCATGCGTAGGTATGATTTGACCGGTGAAACTTTGCGGAACTATCATCATGTAGATGCACACTTTAACACGTGGTTATCTTGTTCCGTTCTTCATTCTCTTTATAACTCGCACATTTTTCTCCTATACACATAATTGGTCAGGTTCGAGTGAGACTACTTTATCTGTACAGTTGTTCTCTTAACTTTTACTTTGAACTTTTTTCTTCTTTCTTGTTCTTAAAAGGAGTCGAGTAGAGAAAATAACTAATGACACCTAGTCCTGGGTGTACGAGGAATTCCGGGTCCCTACGAAAAAATTGTAGGAAATCATTCGAAAGCAATGTTATATTGGTCACACGATATGATTTCAAAAGGTCTTCAAAAGATATTCAAATCTGCAGTCAACGTTCTGTCACAAACTGATTGCGGTGGACGCTTGGGTCGTAAGTATGTTGGAGTTTTTTTTCACCAACGAAACCAGTGCTCGGATGAGCCAAATTTCCTTCGATAAAATATTTATTTTTGTGGAGTTATAAATATTTTCTCTTGAGATATTCAGATAATCTACATCTGATTACGAATGGCATTCTCTTGATAATCGGAAGAAAAAATGGACTGTTTTCCCTGACAATTCGTTCTTCGTAAATTTGGAGAAGTCTGAGGATCCATACGGCGATCTGCCCCCACACGGCAATTTAGCGGAGCTGCTCTGATTATTCACCTGACAGATGGACTGGTTCACACAACCTTTCCGAGCTTACAGGCTGTAAATCAGGAGGCTTTGCTGCACAGATAATGGATCCAATCAAACCCGAAACTCATCTGCAGGTGCTCTCCTGATTGGTTGAAACTAGTGTTGCCCCAACAGCGCAATTCTTTCGTGCTCCGATGAGCTATTTCTTTCCATAATTAGAATATCAGTTTCATACTGATTCTGAAATTTAACGTATGTTGGCATTGCCAACAACAGTTTGTTTAAACCACACGTGCGTTGAACCGTATTCAGTTCGTAGTAACTAAAAAAACTCGCCCGCGGACGCGCGAAATTCGAAAAAGCGTGTTAAAAATTGCGTAAATTGCGTGCTCTAAGGTGAATTACACACTCTTTGATGTGTTGGTCTATCGTAATTTTCGTGGTATTTTATCTTAAGTTAGACCGTTCATATGGTTGTATCTCTCGCATGAAACAGCTCCATTTCATTTCGAAACATGAGTTTGCATGAGGTGAGATTTGTCATGAAAATCACAGCGACCCTAAGGAGAATACAAGCTCGCCATGTTGCAAGGAATGGAAAAAATCGGAAAAAAGAATCTCAAACTTGCGAAATAATAAGCACGTTCCAGAGGCAGTGCAGTACATGAACAATATCTAAGTTCTATGAAGGAGCCTTGCGTTTTGTGCATGGTCGCGTGGGTTATTTCCACCAATATAGAGGTGCAAAAAGGTGTAATTAAGATGGAACAGATACGATTGTCGTGTCATTACACTGAGGTAACGGGAAAACAACAGGTTTGACGGGTTAAAGAGGAATCAAACCGATGATGGCAAAAGCGCAAAACAACGTATCTCCATCGCGGCGTTTCAGAATTTCCGCTCCTATTTTTTTTTCTTTTCTTTTTTTTTTTTTGAAGAGAGGCAAGCTAATTTCATTATTGCTTGAAATTTACACAGAATATTCTGATAGCAAAGAGGAAAAGTCAAGGAAGTTATCAAAAAATACGTTGACTAGCTCCTTTTCGGAAAATTGAAGTATGACACGAAGACTGCAACGTCGCAAACACCCAAGTGGCATTTTTAAACGGAAAAATCGCAATATTTTGAAATTAAGTTGCGACTTTTTTTACGATTTTTTGGCGATGAAATCCCTCGAATCAACACCTGAGCGATTATTCTCGATCTTGTCACGATTTTATCCCTATAAAATCACGTTTGATTAAATCGAAATTCGATCTCAACTTATCATGATTTTTTGTTCGATTATATTGCGATAATCACCGTCGATAAAATCGCGATATTATTGCAGACATATGCGATTAAATTGCAATTTATCGCAATATTTTATCCGACAATATTGCAAAAAAGCGACGTCGACAAAATCGTGATACATTTCCCGGTCGAATCGCAACTTATCGCTATCACTACTTGGGCAGAGATACGTGGTTTCGCACCTCGAGTTGAACTTTGTAGAGAGTTGCAAAAAGCCGTTCGTTTATGACTCTTTTTGCTGAGCTGCTGCTATGTCACGGCAGACCGAAAATGCAAATTTGTTTTCCATATGTCATTAATTGCCCCTACATAAAGGTAGTTCCGTGTTGAAGACGTCTAGTCCACTCGGTAGACACCCAGGATCGATGAGAATGACTCTGTGAACGTCGCTACAGCATTGTAAGATCTTCATTCCAGTTTTCGTCATGATTGCGGTAAAAATTTTGATAGTGTCAGGCCTCCTTATCATGGGTCCAGAGTTGTGCCGTAAGTGATTCGTCCAATTATTATGCTTTGAACCCTATTCTAATGTATCGTTTCCATTGAAAACTTCTAGCTTATTTGATAGACACCCACACTGAAAAAAGAGTATGGTAACGTTACCTCTAAGTCTACTTGACTTTTTACACAGTAATATACTGCCCAAAAATCGGCTGTTGGGACCCCCGAACCCCACGTTTTTCAAAATGAGGGACACTTTCTGACACCCAATACGGCGTCCATCGAATCACCTTAATAGAATATTAATTATGTCTGTGACGACCCAAATAATTTAAGGTCATGGGTGTAGCTAGGGGGGGTCCTGGGGGGCCTGCCCCCCCAGAAATCTCGTGCCCCCCCCCCAGACAAACGGGATCCTTCATTCCTCACCCTCCCCCCGCTCTCTTCACCACGAGAGGTGGTCCCATGCCCCCCCACCCCAGAGAAATTTCCTAGCTACGCCCCTGTTTAAGGTTAACAATATAAAAAGCAAACAAGGTTTTCATTATACCGATCGATTTCAGAGCAGACGAAACCTCACGATTCACCTCCCCCCAAGAGACCATCCCCTGATAGACATCATATTTCAACTGAACATGGCCCGAGACACCCACCACCTCAATCTCCAGCCAATCACAGGAATGAACATCTAGTTGCACGCAGCCATAAAGACCATCCATCTCATTCACGGCCATTGTCTCCATCTCCTATAGGAGGAAGAGCAAACCATAGGCCACCACCGAAGAAGTATGTGCAGAAGCAACCGGCACCAGATCATCATAACCCACAGAAAGGTACCGAGAAAAAATTTCCAACAAATGGTATCCGAAACCAGCACAAGTCGGGTTAGTTTATGACTCCAATACAATAAGTAAGTGCCTGGATCCTTCGAATGCAAGAGAAACAGCCGTGTGAATAGATCATTCGAGAGTAAAACGGCAAAAAATCACGACGAGCAGTTTGAAAAAGTCAGAAATCCCATTCTTTTTGCGCAATGGACCACTAGACAAAGTACGAATTTCAGCATTCTGATACATGTTTCTTAATCAAAATTTTACGCAGAACAAGATACGCACAACGAAAATTGCCGAAATCAACTCCTCACGAAAATATTTATTGATTCTTGATGCGTGAATTCAAACCTCCCGCTCATGAAATGAAACGGCTAAAACTCACCCGGCAACGCACTTGACACGGGCTCGCTCTGGGGGCGTAAAGAGCGTGAATGTTTCGGGGGCGCCTAAAAGGCGAGGTCTTCACCAATCCGCGAATTTTAGGAGCCATGGATAGCTCACATGGTTGAATGATGACAAGACAACAATTGATTGATTAAAGGAATGATTGATTGATTTAATAATCATAGACAGCATACACGAATCAAGTTTCAGAACAACGAAACCGAAAAACACAGCTAAATCTTCTTCAAAATCTTCCAAACTTCCAAAAACTCTCCAAAACAACCGAAACTCAAAAATAGACAAAAACTACAGCTAGCACACCAGGACTTGGCGGGGGCAACGGTCGGAAGACTCTAATGTGCTGATCCTCTATACCAGAGGTCTACGGAGGTTGATTCGACACCGCCGAAAAACACTTTGAGGACTCAGGGATGGAATTTTACGTGCACCTGGACATTACACGGAATCGCGACATTTCCCATCCCGGCGAACATGAGCGACTGAGTTTAGAAATTTTCCGGAAAACGCGCGTCACCGGGCATCGCCGCTTCCTACGTCCCGCGCGTCCTGCCCCTTTACGCCAATAGCATCTCACGAAAAGTGCTGATCAATCTAGGGCTGGCCGCGGTTCACACGGGAAACAAGAGCAAAATCTAACCTATGACGTCACAATATTTCCTCCTCGCTGAGCCGCTGTCCGGCGTGCGATCCGCGCTATTCTCCCAGTACAAGGAGAACATGAATAATTTATAAGTTTAGGGCTCAATTTTCGTTTCAGAAAACTCAATGCTCTACGTGATTCAGATCGCGCGCTAAGTGTTATCATGACAGTCTCTGCGATTTAAATATCTGACAACCTCAATCTTGACGCTTTGGCTCAGCTATCGCAAATTGCTTATAGTTTGAACAACACATGGTGGGAAATGAACATTCCTCGATTGAGAAACTTGCTGAAACCGTTGTAGTGCACGATTTGACTCGCGTAGAGCTTTGAGTTTCTTGTGAGCCGGCAGTTCAAATTCCTCGTAACCAATGTGAAATAAAATCGTTAATATCTTCGTTATGAGTTGGTTTCAGTAATTTTCGTTGTGTGTATCGTGTTTTACGTAAACTTCTGGTTAAGAAACATGTACCAGATTACTTAAATTCATATCTTGTCTAGTGGTCCATTAGCGTAGCTTGGAACTGGCTCCTTCAAATTGCGTCCACTTTTTTTCCGTCCACCCATTTTTCGTCCACAGTTTTTACGTCCAATACCGGATTGGTCACCTACATTCCATGTCACCTTATTCCACGTCCACTTATTTACGTCCACTGTATTTATGTTCACTGCATGGGCTTACGTCCACTCATCTGATGTTAAAAAAGTATGAGAGTATTGAATTGATTTTTAAGGAATCAAAATGTGGGAAAAGTAGAAAATTTAAAAATTGAAATTGTTTATTAAAAATGGAAAAGGAAAGAGGTAGCTGATGCTTACAAGTAGAGTAAAAGTTCGTTAAGTCGAATTGTCTGGGGACCAATGAAAAATTCGACTTAAGCGGCAATTCGAGTTATTCGTTTCTCCGCTTAACTCGAAATCAGCGAGAAAATCGCAAAAATTCGACTTAGGCGGCAATGCCGCCGCTTTAACTTTTTAACGCTCTTTAACTTTTCTTCTATTTAACTTTTTACTCTTTTTAGTTTTAAGTTTTAAGCCAAATCAATGAAATTTAGTCAAATCAGTGTTTTCTATGACGCAATGAGTGAAGTTAGTGTTCCGTAGTGTCAGGTGTCAACGCCAAGCATAAAAAAAATTCAATTTTCGGACATGACAACCAACAGATGTCACTTCTCTACTCCCTTCGTGTATACAGGTACGTATCAATGAATCTCTTTTCTACATTTCTCCCGTCTATATTGCGCATTTTTTGTTTTTCGTTGTAAAAATCCGGATTTTTCGAGGAAAAAATTTCGACATAAGCGGCTTTCCACCCAGCTCAAAAATTCGGGAATTCGTCTAAAGCGTAGTTTTTTTTAACGTTTTTCCATATGCAACGTCGCGGGACCGAAGAAAATTTCGACTTAAGCGGATTTTCGTCTTAATCGTAGTTCGACTTAACGAACTTTTACGGTACCTGCCAGCTCAGCCATTCTAAGAGTTAAGCCAAATCAATGAAATTTAGTCAAATCAGTGTTTTCTATGACGCAATGAGTGAAGTTAGTGTTCCGTAGTGTCTAGTGTCAACGCCAAGCATAAAAAAAATTCAATTTTCGGACATGACAACCAACAGATGTCACTTCTCTACTCCCTTTGTGTATACAGGTACGTATCAATGAATCTCTTTTCTACATTTCTCCCGTCTATATTGCGCATTTTTTGTGTTTCTCGTTGTAAAAATCCGGATTTTTCGAGGAAAAAATTTCGACATAAGCGGCTTTCCACCCGGCTCAAAAATTCGCGAATTCGTCTAAAGCGTAGTTTTTTTAACGTTGTTCCATGTGCAACGTCGCGGGACCGAAGAAAATTTCGACTTAAGCGGATTTTCGTCTTAATCGTAGTTCGACCTAACGAACTTTCCATGTACCTGCCAGCTCAGCCATCCTAAGAGTTCGAGTGGAAATTGAAGACTAATACCGATGGCCAATTGGTACCTGTAAAAGTTGACTTGAAAGCTGCAATTAGGTTCTCCTTTCAAGTTAATTGCTTCCTAGGATACCAAGTCACCAGGAAAATAGGATGGAGCGTCGCATCCCAAAGGATGTTAATAAATTAAATAATAATTAAGGGGGAGAATTTAAGTGGACATATTTCGTCCACTTTTAATGTCTTCGGACATTTTTGGGCTGGACGTACATTCTGCCGTGATAGCGAAGAGAGCCGTAAGCGCAAAATTTTCGAAATCGAGTTTTCTTCAAAATTCGTCTAAACTCTTAGATGAAATTACTGAGTCAGCTAAAACAGCAAAATTCATCCTAATTTAATGAAAACGAGACGCATGAGAAAGCCGTAAGTGCACAAAAAATGACATAGTTTTTTTTCAAGACAGTCGCAGGTGCATGAGAGCCAATGAAAACAGTGCTTTCCAGTAAAGTGCCGCCCTCCTCTGCCAATTTCCAACCTGAAAATGTGTTTGTTGTGCGTCCAAAACGCAACCACGAAAGCATGTAGAAGATAGCACTTACGGCTGTCTTGCCTAACAATAACCTAACACGAAACTGAATTTTACCTTTTTCATGTACTTTAAAATAAAATCGGTCGAGTTTTAATCCCCCAAATGATTTCTAGGAGTTTTCCGGACGAACAGTGGCAATTTGACAAAGAGCGGAGGCTTCTTTCAATAAAATGTTCCACTCAGAAGCTTCTGAGCCCGTTTTCTCAGAACTTCATTTTTGCACCTACGGCTCTCTTCGCTATCACGGCAGCATTTGAGTGGACACTCAGTAAGCTTCGCCACTGCTCTAATCATAACGATCAAGCACTCACACACCGGATTCGCGTTCCGTCGCACAGTGGATTGAGTCAATTAGAGGTCGGACACGAAATTTATTACCAAAACTGCAAATTTTGATGTTTATTTCATCACATTTTGAATTTCGAGGGGTGCTTCCAGAAGAAAATTTCACGAGACATGGCCGGATTAAGGGGGTGGCCACATGGGCCGCGGCCCATGGCGGCAAAATGTAGGGGGCGGCAAATTTTGCAATCTTTTTGAATGTAGGCATCGCATAAAAGAAGAAAAAATCGGATTCAGAATATAAATTACAAACCAGACACACCAGTGGCATCCAGTGGCGTGGCGTGAATGATCGATTATCGATATCTCGCCATTTGAAGCTATGGTAAAGAATCGATTTCTAAGGTATTCGCAGCGAACACCCTGATAATCGATCTTTTTTCATAGGTTTGAGTGGCGTATCAATCGATATATCGCAAATCACGCCACGGAGTCTGGGGAAAATGCGACAATATCTCTCATTTCCTGAGAGTAAAAGTATATTAAACATCTAATGTTGATGTCTCTCGGTGATACCAAAGACAACACCTTTAATTAGTCGAGTTAAGAGAGAAACCAAACACGCAATTTGGCCCTGAGCAAGTTGAGCGGAGCGGCGAGGAGAGCAATGATGACGAGGACTGAGATGGAAAGGAGAAGCCTTCTCTTCGGCGCGGCGGCGGTCGGCATGAAACGCATAGCGCCTACAAGACCGTATGAATACTTCACGCATTGCGTCAAACACACTGCGGTCAGCAGCAGTCGGCGTGAAACGCATAGCGCCTACAAGACTTCATGAATACTTCACGCATTGCGCCAAACACAGGGCGGTCGGTGTGGCGCAGCGGCAGGAGTTAAGATTATTAAACCACATTTTTGTTTGTTCTTTCACAACTTTTTCGTTCGTTTGTTATGAATGGATGGCCTTGTCCAAACAGGGGTGGGTTTACGGAACTTAACTTCCGCGTAAAGTTCCGTGGAATTTTGTTAGTGTTGACAGGGCTCTCACAAAAAATGTGCCCAATAAGAGTGAACACGTCTCATACACCCCTCCCCTACCGGCACGTTCACTTAACGAATTAGAAGGGGGCGGAAAATTACAGGCGGCCCATGGGCGGCAAGTAGGTAAATCCGGCCCTGTCACGAGAAAACCAATGGAGCCACTTTCAGAACCCCAAAAGTTTGTATAAACGGAGTTAAAAGCTTTTGAGGTCTCCGAGTGTTTATGCGTCCTTTACATGTGACCTTGATACAAAAATGGATCCACTGTGCGTAGCGTCGCTGTGATGTAAAGAAATTCAAGGCATGTTCAACTATTTTTGCATGCAACATGGACAGCTTTTGAGAAATAATAGTTGTATTCAACCTTGTTAAAATAAAATGGTGCGAATGATCTACATGATGGAGTAAAATATTTCAAGCGCAAACTTTTTCAACGCGCAATGGTGGTTGTCAATGGTTGATAGTGACTGTTTATGCGTCCTCCATACGTAACCTCTATACAAAAATGACATGTTTTCTGAAGTATTGGCTGACCAAAGCTGCAATGGTTGATACACTGGAAAAAAAAAAACACATTGGATCCAGAGTCCAGGCTCTTGAAAACATCGACAAGAAAAAATACTCTTGATTCAATCGGATTTTTGCTTAGGTCGAGAACCAAGCCTCTTAATTTGAGCGGATTACCTTTTGATTTAAGCAAAATTCTGATTAAATCAAGATTATTTTTTCTTGTCAATGTTTTCAAGAGTCTGGACTCTAGATACAATGTGTTATTTTTCCAGTGCAACGATTGTTCATGCGTCCTATGTATGTGACCTCGATACAAACATGGCATGTTTTCTTCAGTATTGTGTGACTAAAGCTGGAATGATTGTATCCAGCTGAAAATGATATATTCAAGGTCTTTTTTTTTAATTGAGTGTTCATTGACGCATAACATAGAACGTGAGCGCGATGAAACCATACAGGAAAAAAGTAAACACAATCTGACAAAATATTTGCGGCGAAAGGGCTCCAAGCGGTTAAAAGAACAATTGGTTAATGAATAGTAGTTTCATTTCAACGACAACATGGACCGAAGATGGAGACTAATTTTTCTCTTGTGTTTCGTTGCATTAATGGCCAAACCAGGTAAACTTTATCTGTTAAAAGTGACTGAGGTAGACAGGAGTACAATATGTTTTTCTATATTTTGATAAAAAATCATTCTTGAGAACCGTGTTTTTCCGATTAGGATATTGATCTAAGTATTTCTGTTTCTTTGATAAAAATTAATTCAACCACTTGAATCCACGCCAAATAGATATACACACTTCTAGACTTCGACAGAAGATCGTCTGATGTCACATTCACAAGTGAAGTAGATGGAAGAATGAACTAATAAAGATGGTAAATCTTCTATCGCATTCTAAAAGAGCGTAAACTTATTCGGCGCGGACTCTAGACGAATTGCAAATTAAAGAATAACGCTGTAATGTTTTTCTTTAAAATTTCACATGAAACGTGATTTGTGCAACATAATTTACTGGAAGTGACCCCTAACAAAGATAAAAACGTTCCTCGATGCATTACCTAATGCAAACTTCTCGCTGATAATGAAAACCATAATCTACCATTTTTTAGTCGCACTTTAAACGTTACCATGGCAATCTCTGCAGTATGAACAAGTTACATAATGGACCACTAGACAAGGTACGAATTAAAGGATTCTGATACATATTCTTCACCAAAATTTCACGCAGAACACGATTCGCGCAACGAAAATGACTGAAATCAACTCCTAACGAATATATTAACGTTTTTATTTCACATTGGTCGCAAGGAATTTGAACTGCCGGCTCACAAGAAACTCAAAGCTCCAAGTGAGTCAAATCGCGCACTACAACCGTTTCAGCAATCTTCTTAATCGAGCAATGTTCATTTCCCACCATGTGCTGTTCGAACTATAAGCAATTTGCTATAGCTGAGCCAAAGCGTCAAGATTGAGGTTGCCAGATTTTTATATCGTAGAGACTGTCATGATAACGTATAGCGCACGATGTGAATCACGGAGAGCATTGAGTTTTCGTGAGCGGGTGGTTTGAATTCACGCATCAATAATAATTAAATATCTTTGAGAGGAGTTGATTTCGGTAATTTTCGTTGTGCGCGTCGTATTCTACGTGAAATTTTGGTTAAGAAGCATGTATCAGAATGCTGAAATTCGTACCTTGTGTAGTGGTCCATCTTAATATATAAATTGAAAAATAGAATGAAATTGTGAATTAACCTCTGTACTAATTGCGAGGGGCGTTGGTTCATTTGAAAGGCGTTGTACTCAATGCTTCGGGAAAATTATAAATTATTTTCTGGGGTTTGTCCCCGATTTTTAAATCCCTAAAAACTCATAAATTGGATGAGGGGAAGTGGGGTTTTTTTCTTTTTTGTTTTTCGGAAAAGTTTTGTTGCTACGCATCTTACTTTACTATTTGCTGCCTTTTTATCAGCTGTTTTCATTTAACAATCATCATTAAATGAGGTTACCTCCAACACTTAACTGCCATCAACTTACATTTTTCTTTTCCCGCGTTTTTTTTACGCTTTGTCATATTACCTTCCCGCGTTTTTTCTTTTCCAATTTTACTCCCAAATCGTGATTGGCTCCATCTTTTTCCTATTTCCAATTTTTCCTCATCAAGTCAATAACCTCCAATTTTTCTTTCTCATTTCCAATCAGAACGTTTCACACTGTTAGTTATTTCCTTTTCAAAAGGAGGAACGAAAAAGAGAAGAGTTGAAGGAAAAATTTGAAAAAAAGCAGACCAGAAATCGGAAAAGAAGAAGCAACAATTAAAAGGAAAACAGAGTAAAGTATTTAGAAGATTAACAAACCGATACTAAAAACTTAGTTTGAAAACATAGGTAAAAGCTTAAAAAGAAGTTTGTATGAAAGGTTTAAAAAAATTTTGATTTAAAGTTTACAAAATAAACTTACAATTTTTGAAAAAATTTGTTATATTTATTACTTCAAAGAAAAAATTAGGACCTATTCAAAGACAAACCAGAAAATTAAATAAAAATAAATTTTAAAAAAAAGACATGTGAAAGGGAAAGGTGTACATAAAAAATGAGGGGCTGCGAAGCAGCCCTGTAAGCCCCTAGTTGTTTATTTATATGCAAAAAATCTGAGTTTCATAAATTCTAGGGTGGGTTCACACCTACGAGAGAGTCTATCATAATCAAATAATTTGTATTTCCATATTTCGTATTTGTTTGCAACAATCAGTTGTTGCGAATCAGTGTAATTCCTCATAAGGATCCGATTCCAGAGTTTTGCTACCAAATTTTAGCCGAGGGAGATTTTGAAAAGTTGTCCTTTGTAATGATGGGATCTCAAACATCTCCATAAACCTCCCTCAATCACGATGTAATCTACACGTATGGGTTTACATAAGAAAATGAGTAGCTCAAGGAACGGCAATGAATATGACCACAAAACTGGCTTAAAGAAGCATAATCGTGATCAGATTTCAACGCAATGGACAGTGGTCCATTGCGCAATTTGAGCATTTGATACTTGTTTCTTCACCAAAATTTCACGTAAATCACGATGCAAACACGAAAATTACCGAAATTACATCCTTACGAAGATATTCAATAATTCTTGATGCGTGAATTTAAACCACCCGCTCATGAAAACTCAATGCTCTACGTGATTCACATCGCGCGCTAAACGTTTATCATGACAGTCTCTGAGATATAAAAATCTGGCAACCTCGATCTTGACGCTTTGGCTCAGGTGTAGCAAATTGATTGTAGTTCGAACAACACATGGTGGGAAATGAACATTGCTCGATTAAGAAGATTGCTGAAACGGTTGTAGTGCGCGATTTGACTCACTTAGAGCTTTGAGTTTCTTGTGAGCCGGCAGTTCAAATTCCTTGTGACCAATGTGAAATAAAAATGTTAATATCTCCGTTAAGAGTTGGTTTCAGTTTTTTTCGTTGCGCGAATCGTGTTCTACGTAAAATTCTGGTTAAGAAACATGTATCAGAATGCTAAAATTCTTACCTTGTCTAGTAGTCCGTTGAACAGTATGTGCAGAGGAAAAATGCAAAATCTCAAATAGAGTGTTGTCGTTCCTGCTGTGGGCGACAGTAATGACGTGAAAAGAAAATTGGGGGATCGTTCCCTCCTAGAGTCCCTCCAGGTGTAAATCCGTATAAATGCACTCTTTTCAGTTTAAATCCCACTGTTTCAGTCCATATGGATGAACAATCCCCAGTCAAAGATCCCAGGAGTCCGGGGTCTAAGCCGCCGTTTACACCGAGACCAATGGACGATAATATGCTCTCGCCAAAAGAGTCAATTCCGGGATCCCCTCTAAAGAGAAAAGCGGACGCTCTCTCAATGGATTCGAATATACGCCCATCGAGTCAGTAACTTACAAAATTGATTTGGTATACCTTTTCATGTATTTTAATGTTTAAAGCTACCAACACTAAAAGCTAAAACACTAAAGCTTTGTCACCAACACTATTTAAGGTATACCTAGAGCACGTGTTAAAGGAATGGAAAAATAAGGTTGCGGGAATGGGCGTTCCACTCCTTGATGGGCAGACCCTTTATACTCTATGCTTTGCCGATGACCAGATCGTTGTAGCTCAAGATGAAGAAGATGCAGATTACATGACGCGGAAGTTGGTCGAAGAATATCGGAAATGGGGCATGGATGTTAGTGTGTCCAAGACAGAGAAGCTGGTCGTGGGAGCAGCGCATCAACGGCAAAGCATAGAGCTTGAGGATGGACGGCGCATCGAAGAGTGCGATGAGTACAAGTATCTCGGTGTCTGGCTTGATCAGGATGGAAGGATGGATAGGGCAATTAAGGACAGGATCATCCAGGGCAGGAGAGCCATCGCTATGCTGAACGGGGTGCTCTGGGATCAGAGCATCTCAAAGGCAAACAAGCACCGGATATATGACGCCATCGTTAAAAGTATCGTGCTCTATGGTAGTGAAGTGTGGCCTTTGACGAAAAGAACGCAAGAAATGTTGAGGGCAACTGAAATGGATTTTTGGCGGCGATCTGCCGGCATTTCGAGACGGGACCGTGTCCGTAATGAGAGAATTCGCCAGGTGATGAAGGTTGAGAAAGATATCGTGCACGACGTCATGGCCAGGCAGTTATGTTGGTATGGACATGTGCAAAGAATGTCGGAGGAGAGGTTGCCCAAACAAGTTTTGGATTGGGTACCACCTGGGAAGAGGCGACGGGGACGTCCCGTAAAGGGTTGGCGGCAGGGCGTTGACGAAGAGATGTTGCGGTGTCAGTTGCCCGAGAACCTCTGGGAAGACAGGCATATGTGGCGTTTGGGTGTCGTAGAACGCCCGAGTGCGTTGTAAAGCGACTTTATATATATGTTTAAAGCTATGCATTTCCACTGTGCAGGAACTCCATATTGAATGGAGATGTTGCATGTGTGAGGGATTTGCGATTTGGCCATTGATTCTTATGTAAAAGTTCGCGAGAAACACGATGGTGCCACTGGTTTTCTCTGAAATCATCTCCCAAGCTCAAAAAAGCTCTCAAGTTGAGGCCAAAACGGAGGGGATATCCCACGCTGTTCTGAGAGTCCACCTCTACATCAAGACAAACTCTCCATGCAAAGATAGGGAGGAAATACATTGACAGGACTGCCACTTTATTAGGGGACTACAAAACTGAAAACACGGCAACCCTGCTAATGTATTTGCTCCCTATATTTGCATGGAGAGTTTGTCTTGATGTAGAGGTGGACTCTCAGGGTAGCGTGGGATATCCCCTCCATTTTGGCCTCACTTTGAGAGCTTTTTTTGAGCTTGGGAGATGATTTCAGAGAAAACCAGTGGCACCATCGTGTTTCTCGCGAACTTTTACATAAGAATCAATGGTCAAATCGCAAATCCCTCACACAAGCAACATCTCCATTCGTTAGTCGGCACATTTCGCTTTAAGAGAGAACCATGTAATATATCGTTCCCCGAATAAGAACTCATGCGACGCATATTATGCGTCACACGTATTTTTATGCGAGGAACAATTTTTGCCAAGGACGCCAATATGTCAAGCCGGATTTAGGCGAAAATACCACTATGGCTCCTTAAAAGTCCGTCCAACATAATAGGGGGAACTGTGGCGTGGCATGCTTTGCGATTTATCGATTTAGCTGTCGTTTGAACCTGTCGAAACGGATAGATCAACAGGGTGTTCGCAACGAACACCTTAATAAGCGCGATTCTTTACCGCAGCTTCAAATGGAAAAATAGCGATCATCGATCATTCACGCTTTGCCACTGAGGGGGAGGCACGAAAACTTCATTGTTAACAAATATGTAGCTTACGGAAGTTCGTAGATTTTGCACCGCAAGCAGGGCAGATTAGACATTTTTTAAAGCAATTTTTCTCAAAAAATGTCTGAACTACAAACTCCAAATCGTTAGAAATCCAGGTGGTTTGCCATAACTTTGAATTGAATCAGTGAGTTCGAAAACACACCAAATCGGAAAAATAAATTGCTCAGGAAACACCTAAAACTGCGCAGCGGGCGAAAAAGGTAGTTTAAGAAAAACCTTATTGGTGCCAAAGGACAAGTACTCAGAGACTTTGTAAAGCACCAAGTTGAAATCGATACACCATGTTTGATGACAGAGAATTAAGCGTTTAAAAATTTCCGAGTTGGTGCGTTTTCGTTCTCACCGACTTTCAGATACTGATTTTTCATAATCTGCCCAGAAAAATGTATATTTTTCGACCTGAATTACGCTTGAATATATAACTTGTTGGTACAAGGTATACTGAACCGAAAAAAGGAAACCGCAAAATCGGATGGTCACCCGTTTCCCTTGAAATGGTCAAAAATTGGTATTTCTAATGAAAAACTTCGATTTTCCCCTTTTCCCGTCACTGTTTCGAGCACTTCCGATTGCAATTTCGAAATTTCCTTTTGCGAGCAGATGCGTCTATCCATAAGTGTTACTAAGCCGTAAAAAAGTGAAAATCGAAAAAAACCCGAGTTGGGGTTTTCGAACTCACTGATTCAATTCAAGAAGCTCACAAATCAGACTTCTATGAATTTGCATCAGTGACTCTATTTTTGAAAAATTTGGAAACTGAGGTGTTTTGAGGTATAGGTAGTTTTTTCCGCAGGACGGCCATGTTTTTATTCCACTTTCAAATCGAAACTGCTCGATCGAATTTTTCCTCTTTCCTCAGCGAAGAGGCATGACCTTTAAATCATTGGTTGTAGCCCATTGATATGCTGTTAAAAAGCCAAGTTATTAAATTCGGTGTTATTTTAGAGGTTAGATAAGCGCTTGAAATTACATTTAATATTGCTAAAATACGACAATCATTAATAAGTTGGATTGATTTATTTTTTCAGAGTCTTTAGATCCGGCTCCAGGTAAACCAGCAAACAAAAAACGTAAGGGCTTGGCACGGCCGGCATTGGCAGGACTGACTCCGTTACAGGTATACAAATATACTGAAAAAAAATGGACGCTCGCGGAATGCCTCATACATTGCGAAAATACCGTGGGATACGTCGCTAGGGAGAAACAGCCGCCCATATTCATCTCAAAAGGAGCCGTGGACAGCTATCAGAGATGCAAATGCGGACTCAACAAAGAACTTATCGATTTTTTGAAAACTAATGAACGCAACAGTACAGCTTTTGAGGAAGCTTTCAGCAAAAACCCTTCGGCTGCCCGCTATTGGTTGACCCTGCAGAAATTCAGAGTCTTGTTCCCTATCACGGAATATTTAAAATGGGATCCTAAAAAACAGGAACAAGTACCGATCGTGGACGAGAAAAAGAAAAATGATGCCGTCAGTCCCGAAAAGGATGAAATAGGGACGCAAGAAGAAAACAACCCGAATCTTCCGAAGGAAAAGGATGCCATCACTCCCAAAAAGGATAAAAAAGGGACGCAAGAAGAAAACAGCCCGAATCTTCCGAAGGAAAAGGATGCCGTCACTCCCAAAAAGGATGAAAAAGGGATGCATAAGTGAGGCGATCCGAACCTTCAGAAGAAAAATGACGCCGTGCTCCATCCTAATTTTTTTTTTTCCAACTTTTTTTCTTCCAAAACCATTATCCCAGAAATAACAACGAGCAAGTCCTTTAATTTTTATTTGTCTGTATGTGTCCGTATGTGACCAGACCTGCAAAAGGAGACTATATCAGCGCCGCACAATGGATCGAGTCAACTACAGAGGTCGGACATGGAATTTTCGACAAAAACCGCGAATTTTTATGCTTATTTCATCACATTTTAAAAGTCAAGGGGTGTTGCTTGAAGAAAATTTCACGAGAAAACCAATGGGATCATTTTTAGAACCTCAGGATTTGGTATAAACGGAGTTATAAGCGTTTTAAGTTTCCACATTTTGTCCGACCTCTCCTATAGACTCGATCCACTGTGCGCCGTGGCGTGCTTTGCGATGTACCGAATTATCTGCCGTTTAAACCTATGGAAGGAATCGATAAACAGGGCGTTCGCAACGAACACCTGTAAGATAATCGAATACCTTATGGATAATCGATTCTGTAGCATAGCTTCAAATGGGGAAACATCGATAGTTGATCATTCGCGTCTCGCTACTGGACTTAATCTTCCGGGGAAAAGTGTTCCTTAACTTTTTGCAAACACTTAAAGCAAGTTTTCTACAATTGTAGAAAACCCAAGGAGTTTTTCCTTGGAACCTCAGGACCCAGATTATACTCGGCCTCAATCCCTGAATAATTGAAGAGCCTTAAGGATGGATGACCCTATCGCCCTGATGTATACGGACAATAAATTTACTCCCACAGATGGCTGTAGGTTTCTACTGGAACGAAAGCCAATAAGCCAGCAAAAAAAAAACAAGAAAATTTCGGGACTATTGTTACCTTCAATTTTCAATTTATGACCTGTCTAATGACCTTCAATTTTATGACCCGTTCCATCAACAGGATCTGTACTGCTGACAGTCTTTTTGACGATGGTTATCAATTGGACGTATTTCTATCAAACGGAACTACGCGCCAATTTGAGTTCCTTTTGAGGAATTTAGAATCCCGGATAGCGCATTCTGTCAAACGGATCTAAGCGCCATGGAAAAGCTTTGCTAGTATAGGACGGTATAAGCCGGATGCCCGATTCCGCCGCCAATCCAAGCCCCCCTCTACCTTCCTCACCCTATTATGGCGCTTGGGTCCGTTTGATAGAAATACGTCCAACTCTTGTTTTCGTATGCATGAGGTCTTCGGAATATTTTTCACTAATCGTAGCTTAGGAATTGTGATGAAAATTTGGAAAAATGTAGAACAATTTTAAAAATTTAGAATACAAATTTGTCTTTATCAACATTCCTCGGCTGCTTTGGCAAGAGATAGTCCGAAGATATAATATGAGAGAACTTTTTGGAATTGTTACCACGGCAATTTTCACAAATTTTGGGAAGGGGCTTCTGTTTAATTCTTGGAGTTAACTCAAAGTTAACTTAAGAGCGTTAACTTCCGCGCAACCCTAGCGGAGAATCCGATAGTCAGAACTTGTGGATGTACCATGCCTTAATTGTTATTTATCTCTAAAATGTTGACAAAGGAGGGGTATCGATAAAGGCCTTTTTTGGCCCCCCTCTAGAATCTGGAAAATGCGGGTTTTCCAAGTTGACTCAATGTAGTTTACGGAAATAAGCATGATTTAGCCAATAGGCCACTGGATACGTGTTAAACGGTTGCCTAAACATAGGTCTGCAGGCGTATTTTAGCGAAAATTCGTGTTTTTCTATCACTCCGAGGCTTTTATGAAACTGAGTCGATGTCTAACTAAAACGAGCTTTTGATATGTCATTAAGGAGGCTTTAGGACACATTTTAATCATGGTTTGGTTTTAGTTAGATGATGCGCTCATAGTTAAAAAAAAACTTTTTACAAAAATCGACGTTTAAGGGACATTCGCAAAAATCTTAGGAAAACACGTCTCTCGAACTGTATGCACGCTACGTATATTATCGAGGGCAGTTATCAAGCCCTTTTAGACTCTTACAAGAAGATTTCCTTCAATTGTGTCCAAAAAAAAAATTGAATTTTCCATACAAACAGCTGTGAAGATAACGGATTTTGGAGTATGGGAGGCATATTTCCACTGATAGCATAACATCAACTGAAATCTGGAAATTTATGCGGGTTTTCCGAGTTGACTCAATGTAGTTTACGGAAATAAGCAGGATTTAGCCAATAGGCCACTGGATACGTGTTAAACGGTTGCCTAAACATAGGTCTGCAGGCGTATTTTAGCGAAAATTCGTGTTTTTCTATCACTCCGAGGCTTTTATGACACTGAGCGCATCGTCTAACTAAAACGAGCTTTTGATATGTTATTAAGGAGGCTTTAGGACAAGGAGGCTTTAGGACTTAGAAACCGAACACGGAATTTGGCCTGAAACGGCGCGGCGCAGAGAGGAATGATGACGAGAACGTGAGATGAAAAGGAGAAACCCTCCTTCGGCGCGGCGGCGGTCGGCATGTAAGACATATTAGCGCCTACAATACTGCATGAATACTGCACGCATCGCGCCAAAGATAGCGCGGTCGCTGCGGTCAGCAGCGGGCGGCGTGAAACGCATAGCGCCTACAAGACTGCATGAATACTTCACGCATTGCGTCAAACACAGTGCGTGCAGCAGCGGTCGGCCCGAAACGCATAGCGCATGTAAGACTGTAGGAATACTTCACGCATTGCGAAGTTAAAATTATTAAACCACATTTATGTTTGTTCTTTCATAATTTTTTGGCTCATCTCTTATAAATGGAGGGCCTTGTCCATACAGAAATAGGTTTACGGAACTGAACTTTTGCGCCAAGTTCCGTGAACTTTTGCTAGTAGTGTTGACAGGGCTTACACAAGAAAAGTGACCAATATTAGTAAACGCGTCTTATACGCCTCTCCCCCTCCGGCACGTTTACTTGATGGCTTTTATTGATGTTTCAAAACGAATGAGAAGGGGGCGGCAAAATACAGGCGGCCCATGGGCGGCAAGTAAGTAAATCCGGCCCTGTTTAAATGAGTTTGGTCAGTTTTCTCAGCGACTTGGCAACAGCAAAGTCTTATACGATCCAGACTTTAGTGTTCATTTCCCATCATTTGTACCTAAACTCTCCGATCTACAAAATTCAAAATGTGAAAAAGTATAATCGTCGTGCGAAAAAATTAGGAAAGCTTAAAATAAGAGGGTTTTTAGGTTTTCGGCTACTCATAATGCGAAAAGAAAAGCTGAGCTATTAGCCGACTTTACAATTAATATAATATGCAATAATTGCAACTCAGGCCATGCTTCAATAAAAAAAAAAAACAATGTGCAAGAGGATGTTAATATATTTACAATTTTTCCTTAACATGGTGGACTTGCAAACGTTTCGACCGACACTATGGTCTTCATCAAGGCAAAGGAAAGAATAGACAAGAAGTTGAAATAAAATAAATCGAAATAAATAAATTTTCGAATGAAATAAGTATTGAGATATACCCATTTAAGGACTATAAACTGGATAATCGAACGTTCTAAATTGGATGTTAATCATTCTAAAGCGAGCTCAGCGTTCTTTATGAACGGAATGTCGGTTGTTTATGCGTCCTCCATAACCTCGACAAAGACCTCTAATAAATGACGTGTTTGCTAAAACGTTATGTATTTAAAGTGGCGATGAATAAATTTAGCCGGAAAGTATCACTTCAAGGCTCTTTCTTATTTTATTTTTAATATTTGTAAACAAGATTTGCATGTTCAAAAATATGCTGAGCGGACACATGCCGAAAAAAAGTAAACACAATCTGGTTAAATATTTACGATGAAAGTACGCTGGGTTATAAAAAAAGTAATGGGTAAAAGAAAGTAAGTTCATTTCAGCCGCAACATGTGTCGAGGATGGAGACTCATTTTTTTCATGTCTTTCGTTGCATTCATGGAGAAACCAGGTAAACTTTGTCTATTAAAAGTAACCGAGAGATGAATAAGAGTGCCATACAGTAACACAGTACAGTAACAATTTTTTTACTTTCTTTTGAATAAATAAGTTGTCCTGGGCACAGAGTTGTTTCTGCAATTTAGGATTAAATATTTGAATATATCTATTTTTATCATAAAGTATTCAATTTAATTTTGTGATGAATTAAGATGTTTAGTACTTTGTGCATTTTTTATTTATTTATGTGTAAGCTCAGCACGTTGTATTACATGGGCATAAGGGCCTTAAACACTTAAGCACTGTTCGTAGATATATTTTCCATAAACCTTAGATGTCTAAGACACCCTGTATACGCCACGTCCCATGTCGGGTGAAATTGGACATGTTTTTAAATGGTTTGCACTTTCTCCCCTCACTCCTCAACCATCATTGGTAACTATCCCAAAAGAATAAGTCGTGTCAATTTGACCTAGCCTGGGATTTCTAGGGGTTGCCGTCAAAAAGAAATTTCCTGAAACGACACAATTCTTGCCAAAATACCAATTTTTAGATGTGCGTCTTATGAGGCGCTTGAGGGACCTCTAAACCTTCCCCCCATTTTTTCAAAATGATTTTTGATTTGGATCCCTCATAGCATATTTTGAGGAAAATTAACTTTGATTTTTCTCAAATATCAAAAATAGGAGAAATCTCAACGCGCGTTGACGACGGTGCAGAGATACAGCTATTTGTGTTTGACGGATGTATAGGTTGCATCTGCAAAATTGAAGGCGCGATGGCGCAACCCCGTAATGCTGGGCTCAAACGTGTGTCAGATTTAGAGGTCTCTCAAGCGCCCCAAAAGACGTGCTTTCAATGAGGGTTATTCATATAGGCGAAAAATGTACCCAGCCCGGAATGTACGAAACTTTGTGAGCTGATAGTACTAGTTGAGAGAGGCTTATCCCTAGCTCCGTTTTTGCAGGAACCCCAGGGAAACAGCGTTGCCATTTTTTAAAGTCGTAACCTTCAAACACCCATAACTTTCGCAGAAATGCAGTCACAGAGCTCGTATTTATACCAAAAGATGCAAAAAATTACGTTCTATCGACCAATGCCAAAGAAATTTCAATTTGACTCCATTGTTGCCACGTTTTGGCAATTTTTTTAATTTTCGTAATTATTTAAAATCACGTTACCGCC